CCCATCGCCCCGCCCCCGTCCACCTGCGCGATGCGGATCCACTTCTCCGGCCGCTGCGCCCTCTGCTGGGCAGCCAGGCCGGGCGTCCTGGGTCCCGAGCCCAGCACGCAGCCTGTCACTGTGTTGAACTGGGCCACGGTGGCGCGCACAGTAGGGGCGGTGCCTGCGGCCCCGGGCCGGTCTCGCTGCGACCACACGGAGCCCAGGCACTCGTAGGGCCGCACGCGCGAGAAGAGCTCCTGGGGAGGGAAAGGGAAGGACCTGTGCTCAGCGGGACCTGCCAGCCTAGCACGCCCCGTCCCTCTGCAGCCCCGGGTCCTCACCACGTCCATCAGCGTCAGCTGCTCGGCTACCTCGTCCACACTGAAGTCCAGGAGCTCGGGGCCCTCCTGACTGAGCCCTTGGTCCTCTTCCGCGCAGCCCTCGGGGGAGACCGGGTCAGGAGTTTGGGCAGCTCTGGGAGGCCCTGAGCATTAAAGAGGTTAAAAACTCAAATTTGGGGACCAGCAGTTGGCATAATGGCTATGTCGCTGGACTCTATATAGCCGACCACAGTTCAAGTCCCAGACCTGGTGGCTTGAAGTCATGCTGGGCGCGTGTGCGTGTGTGCCCAAGATCCCGAGAGGTGAATGGAGGAGAAGGGATTGCGGTGTGGCCATCCCCCCGGGGGTGATTTCTTTGCTGTCCCTCTGACTCTGTCTGTCTGGCGCGCCCATGTGTCCTGTAGCAAAAACCTCTCAAAAAAAAAAAAAAAAAAAGACCTCTCAAATTTGAATCAACAATAATTTTTTTAAAAAATCTCTCAAATTTGAATTGAGAACCAGCTGTGTGACCCTGGGCTAGTCCCTTCAGGACTCTCTAAGCCTCACTTTCCTTGCCTCATCTGTAAAACAAGGACCTCCCTCAAAGTTTTTCCTTTGTTTAGGGTTTTTGCCATAGGAGGTGGTGCTTGATGGGGGGCAGGGAGTGAGAAATTGCCCCCTGGGGGGATGGCCACACTGAAAACCCTTCTCCATTTTCCTCTTGGGATTTTGGGCACACGCGCACGCACACACACACACACACACACACACACGCATGCCCAGTGTGATTTTCAAGCCTCCTGGTCCACCGTCAGCCATGTGGGAGTCCAGCGCCTTAGCCACTATGCCACCTGCTGGCCATACCCTGAGTATTTTTTATATTATTAATCTTTACTTATTTTAATTTGACCAGGGAGGGTCAGAGAGAGAGAGAGAGAGAAAGTCAGGAAGCAAGCCACCAGGTTCAGGACTCGAACCGTGGTCGACCATGTGGGAGTCCAGTGCCTCTAACCACCATGCCACCTGCCGGCCCCTATACCCTGAATATTTTTAAGGACCTAATAGCAAGAGAAAAAAAAAATTAAGTTTTTGGCCATAGGGCATGTGTGCTGGCCAGAGAGAGACAACGAGAAGGAAAGTGAGAAATGTCTCCCCGGGAGAGATGGCCATGGCGCAATCCCTACTCTTCCATTCTCCTCCTGAGGTTTGCCAACACGCATTTCGAGCTCCTGGGTCCACAACTTGAACTGCAGAATTGACTTCTTTTTAAAGAGAGAGAGATTTTGGTTATAGTGTGTGTGCCCTTACTGAAGAGACAGAGAGATGAAAGAAAAGATTCCTTTTCAGCAAATCCGGGGGGTGGGGGGACAACCACACCACAATCCCTTCTCCCCCATTTTCCTCTCGGGATCTTGGGCATGCATGCACATGTGACCTGTGTGAGTTTTGGGTCACTGGGTCGGGGACTCGAACTGCGGTCTACTACGTGGGAGTCCAGCGATGTAACCTTATGCCATCTGCTGGTCCCATCTGTCTCTCTTTCAGGAAGAAATCAGTCTTTATAACATGGAGACTTTGTTACCAGGGATAAAGGAGTGACTGCTACTTTGTAAAGCGGAGAGCAATGTGGCCACTTTAATCTAAGGATTAAAGCACAGGGATTAGGGGTATAGGCTCTGGTGATGTGGATCAGCTCAAATACAGATGGGTGAAAGATGATACTGTGTAAACAGGATGCGATTATTCAATCAGCTAATCCGTGCTGTCCCTGCTCCTGGGGACAGAGCCGGGGGACAAGAGCAACACGGTCCACCTCTCACACTCAGACTGCACAGAGATGCAAAAGGCAGGAATTGAGGCAGAGGAAACAGTGGACGCTATGCAGACAAATAAGACAGGCTCAGCGGGGCCAGCAGTTGGTTGGCATAATGGTTAAGGTGCTGGACTCCCATGTGGCTGACCGCAGTTCAAGTCCCAGACTCGGCAGCTTGAAATTCACACCGGGTGTGCGTGCATGCGTGCCCAAGATCCTGAGAGAATGGAGAAGAGACGGTGGTGTGGTCATCCCCTTTGGGGGATGATTTCTTGCTTTCTGTCTGTCTCTCTCTCTAGCGAGCACACACATGACCTCCAGAAAAATCTCTAAAAAAAAAAAAAAAAAGGGACAGGGAGGGGCCAGCAGGTGACAAGCAGGTGACAAGGTGGTTAAGGTGCTGGACTTCAATATGGCTGTCCATAGTTCAAAGGCTGGACCTGGTGGATTGCTTTCTCACTTTTCCTCTCTGTCTCTCTCTCTCTCTGGTGAGTGCATACACCCTCTGGTGGATTTAATAATATTAATAATAGGCACCAGCAGTTAGCGTAATGGCTATGTCACTGGACTCTCATGTAGTCGACCGCGGTTCACGTCCCAGACCCGGTGGCTTAAACTCACGCCGGGCACATGTGTGTGCGTGGCCAAGATCCCGAGAGGAGAATGGAGGAGAAGGGATTGCGGTGTGGCCATCCCCCCTGGGGGGTGCTTTCTCGCTTTCTATCTCTCCATCTCTTTCTGGCGAGCACACGCGCTCTATAGCAAAAACCTCTCCAAAATAAAAAGAAAAATAATAATTATAAATAAGTTAAAAATAATTATGTCTAAGCAATGATAGAGAGAGGGACCCCTCAGAGAAGTGCTCACACCATATTTAAGACAGAGTTTCAGGCCCAGCAGGCGGAGTGGTGGTTAAAGCACTAAACTCCCACATTCCCGGCCATGGGCCCTGTCTTGGATCTGGAGGCTTGCTTTCTCATTATTCCTCTCTCTCTGTCTCTCTCTCATGAGTGCACATGCCCCACAGCAAATTAAAAATAATAATAATAATAGGGGCCAGCAGGTGGCGTGGTGGTTAAGGGCACTGGAGTCCCACGTGGCCAACCACCACGGTTCAAGTCCTGGACCTGGTGACTTGCTTTCTCACTATCACTCTCCCTCTCTCTCTGGCAAAATGGAATACTGCTACTACTAAATAAAACTGAATAAATAATTCTTAAAAAGTCTTGCCCAAAATTAGTCACTGCTCCAAGAGGAACCAGGAGGCCTGTGGGAAGAAACATGCAGGGAAGACCTTGCTCAAAGGCCTGCAGGGCGAGGAACCCCTCACCTGCCCATGACTGGGGCTGCTCCTCTTCTTCCTTCTCTTGCTCAGTGTCTTCCAAGAAATTTTCCAGAAGTTTCTCTGCCTCCAGGGCCTCAGCTCCACCTGGGGCCGCCCAACCCAGAAATATCTGGACACTTCTCAGATCTGAGTGAGCAGGAGGGTCTCGAAAATCCTGAGGGTGGTCCTGCAACCAGGAGCCCAGCAAGGACACCACAGCCCTGGCCAGAGCGGGTAGGGCCTCAGAGCCAACTCCAGAGAAGGTCAAGCCACCCGACCCTCTAGGCCCCAGGTCTGACCTCTGACCTTTGACCTCTCGGACCCTTGTCTCCCCCACCAACCTCAAGTTCTTGTTGAAGCTCAAATCTTGTTCTTCTGTCTTCATAATCTCTGCCCTGGGAAGAGCCCACCACCACCACCATTAGGTAAAGATGGCAAGAATTGGGGCTGGCAGGTGGCATGGTGGTTAAGGGCGCTGGGCACTCCCACAGGACTGACTGTGGTTCAAGTCCTGGACCTGGTGGCTTATTTTCTCCCTTTCTCTTTGTCCCTCTCTTTCTCTCTATCCTTCTCTGGTCAAATGAAAATAAATAAATTTTTTTGTTGAGAGATTTTCACTGTAGGGCACGTGCGCTCGCCAGACAGACAGAGAGAGACATAGAGACAGAAAGCGAGAAATCACCCCCCAGGGGGGATGGTCATGCCACAATCCCTTCTCCTCCATTCTCTTCTCGGGATCTTGGGCACGCACGCACACGCGCCCGGCGTGAGTTTTTTAAGCCACCGGGTCTGGGACACGAACCGCGGTCGACTACATGGGAGTCCAGCAACATAGCCATCACGCTAACTGCTGGTTCCCAATAAAATTTTTAAAAAAATAATTCTTTTTTTTTTTAGAGGTTTTTGTTATAGGGCACGTGCACCGTCAGCCAGACAGAGAGACAGAAAGTGAGAAATCGGATCTTGGGCACGCACACACACGGGCCCAGCGTGAGTTCAAGCCACCAGGTCCGGGACACGAACCGCGGTCGACTACGTGGGAGTCCAGCGACATAGCCATTATGCTAACTGCTGGTCCCGTTTGTTACTATTATTTTTTAATTTAACCAGAAAAGAGAAAGAGAGAGAGAGAAAGGGAGAAAGCAAGCCGCCAGGTGCAGAACTCCAACCGCAGTCAGCCATGTGGGAACCCAGCACCTTTAACCACTGCGCCACCTACAGGCCCCCTAAAATAATTCTTCAAAAAAAAAAAAATAAATAAGATGGCGAGGACGGGTGGGGCTTAGGAGGAGGGCTCTGGGGTTAGGGACGTTTCTCGGTTGCAAACATGAAGAGGTGGGGGGTTGCCCAGCCAGGTCTGAGGGTGGGAACACAGGGCTTCCTGGGTGACTGCTGACCCCGGAGGTGGGGGCGGCGGCGGCGGCGGCAGCAGACAGCCCAGCACGCGGGCCGTGGGCACGAAGGCCCGGTGAGTGGCCAGGAAGGCAGGTAGGAAGCCCGGGTCCTGCTCGCGGTCTCCGGACACCAGCTCTCCCAGCAGACGCTCCAGCCGGGCCGCCCTCAGCGCCCGCACCTTGCTGGTGCGGTAATGGAGGAAGGTGTGGGCAGCGGGGGTGGGGACCTGGGGGAAGCGGGTGGGAGCTCAGGAGTGACCCCGGGGCGCCCCTTCTCCGATCACGCCCATCGCTAGCACCTCTCTGGCCGTCCGATCTCGTCCGTTCATCTGAATCCGGGCCTCTGCATTTATTCTTTCGCTCCAACCACAGCTGACCGCTGCAACTGTCCCAGGGCACCCTCGTGTCCCCAAGTCTTGCCCTCTCCCCTTCCGTCACTGGGCGGCCCCCAGGTTTCTCCGTCCTCGGGTCGCGCTTGACTGGCAGCTC